CTAATGGAAGCGTGATACTCGCGGTCGAGCCGACTCATTCGTGCCACATCTTACTATAGCCGCAGTGAGGCTCTTCCAATTAAAAAAAATAAGATAAATAATACTTTTCTATATTAAAATTTGGTTTCAATTTAGAGATTGATAATGAAAATAATAAACAGTAAAATCTTTGCATCACCGAAAACAATTGTCAAACTTAAAATAGGTACATAATATTTTACTTATTTTCTTTATTATGGCCCGGCCACACTAAGGAGAAATGCCGTTAATTATCGCGTTGATGGACGTTGAATCTAGGTGTGGCCACGAATTATCGCGATAATTTGACAACAGCGTGAAGCTTATAATACTTAATACGCAGATGGGTTAGTATCAATGACTTTCCACTGGGGGATTAAAATGAATAAGTAAGGTCTTTGCCCTTCGGTGTAGGGCTGCCATCACCAGACTTGCAAATATAGGAAAAATCTTAAAAATAACTGAAAATTTGGGGAAGAAAGAGATGTGATTAGAAACAATGTTTCTTTAAAGTTGTTTGTTGTTTTTTTAGTCATTGTCATTTGGATTTATTTAATAAAAATGCCCACATTTTCTTTATAATTGACAAAATCACGTAAAAACTGGAAAACTGTCTATTTAACGGGCAAAAAATCTAAATAAAATCCATCACATTTTTTTCTATGTTAAGGAAATCTGGTTAGAAAATTAATTAGATATTTTAAATTAGAACGTTTCTTTTTATCAAATTAAGAACAATTTATAATTAATCTAGATAGGCTAGGCAGTCTTATAGTTTATTGTTGGTTGTAAATACTATCAAATATGAGCCAATAGCTTAATAACAGACATTTTTTGAAAATTGTAGTTTGTTGAGAAGTATTTAGGCAGAACGTCATACCAAAAATATTACGAGTAAGTAGTAATTAGTAATTTTCCCTCATAACTTAAAATAATCAGTGTTTTTATTTTTAAAGTTCTACGCCTTAAAAAATCTTAATCATATTAACTATCTTTAGAAAAATGTTAACAATTGCGTTGAAAGTGATTTTGTTTTCATTTCATTTCTTAATCATGGTTCCTGCGTATCCTACTTTTAAACCAATAACTTATAATAACTTTGTAGGAATGACCTTATGTTCTTTTACGAATATTTACTATGATTTATTCGTAAGTCATAACCCATAGAATAAAACTGTTATTTACGGATTTTATCGCGTTTAATTACTTTAATTTATTTTTATTATCCCGAGTTTCGGGTGCTTTACAGCACTCGTGGTCACACAAATGTAATAGTTAGTCCGGTTACCTTCAGGACTAACAATGACATTGGGACGTCAAACATCTCAGTCCCCCCCAGGACCATGGGTGCTGTAAAGCACCCGAAACGTTGGGATAATAAAAATAAATTAAAGTAATTAAACGCGATAAAATCCGTAAATAATAGTTTTATTCAATGTGTAGTGTTCACGTAAATTTAAGAAATCATTATAATCCATAGAGATTCGAACTGATGGCAGCCCTCTCCTAAAGCTATAATAGTACACTATAACGCGCGATGCATGCTACGAGTATCATCTGCCATAATTTGTTTAAACATCAATTTAAGTGCGTTTTAAAATAGAAATAAATATGAGGTAATTATTATTATACAACATAATTATTATACAAGCATTATATCGCTTGCTGGTTTTAGTTTTATACAAAAATAAGTAGGTAACTAAGCTAATTGATAAAGTAAAGAATATTATAACATAAACTGAAATTCATCAGAGAGTTTCTTTAGGTTTAACTTTTAGTTTAGCCAAATTGCATGCAATGAGCAATATGTGCGCAAATATATGTAATATATGCTCAGGGCAATTTCGCCCTGAGCATATATTACATATATTTGATCACCAGGCCAGATTCGCCCTCTAGACCCTACGAAAAGATGTAAATCATTTAGCACGTTTGTACCAATCAAAGCAGCCGCGTATATCCACGTAGAGTTGTGAAAGTGCAATATACCATGAGAAAGATCCGACCGAATATGGACGTGGCAATGAACACTTTTAATGCGTTTAAAGTGAACTCATCGTCGTCAGCAAATTCACGCTATACTATTACAATGTCCTGATTATATGACGCTCGAATTGTATGATACACGTGAAGTTACGCTGCCTATCCGGTCGGACGCTTTCCGCACAGATTGTCAACGTGACCTTAATATGAGTGATGTTTTAGGATACCAAATACAACATTTTTATTTATTTGCCACCTATAAACGAACATTCAGCGATTTACCTCACTCTCTAACTCACAACATCCACAGCTCATGTATATGCTTTTACAACAAATTCCCAGGAAATATGCACACCTAATCTATCCTTATTTAAAATATATATTAAACAAAAACTGTTTAAATTAGTCATTATTACACAAAATAGTACATGATTGATAATAATCCCCTGATGTATCTAAATGTTTTCATATTAATTGTATAAAATATTACATATTATATTGTAAATTACGCTACATGACAATTTATATTACATATTGTTGAATAAACATGAATCTGTTCTATTCTATTCTATCGCCTCATAGGGGGGACATTTGCTATGGTTACAACGCTCGACAGGCGAATTGGCAACTACAAATATTATTTATTATTTTTACTGGTATCAAGTCATTCTACTGGCCTAATCCCGTTTTGGTTTTCCACTATCACCTCCTACAACACTAACGGGAAGTTGATTTGTCGTACGCCATTACTTCAAGTCGACTGAGTTAAGTGTACTTTTATGTAAATGATAGTTGTCGTTATAAAATCGCATGAAAATAATGACCTGAGTACGGGAATATTATGAATAAAATATAGAGCGAACGATACGATAAAACAAATGGAATTTTTAAAACGTTGTGACTGTTTAGCCGTATTCAGAAAATTATTAGATGAGTTGATTAGTGTATTAAATTCTTAGTTAAATAATAGGGTGTTTATTGATATATGTCAAAATATAGTAGTGTGATAATTTTAATTAAACGTTTATCACTTTATTACGCTTTTAAAACTGACCTTGTGGAAACAAAATATTCAATAAAACAAAATATGTATACACGGTTATAATAGTATAGCGTATTCTTCAGATTCTTTCTAATTATACATTCAATGTCAACAATGGTAAATGAGAGAAAGTGTAGCCCTTAATAGATAGAAGATAGCGAAAGTATGAAAGAGTGGCGATTAGTGAAAGCAGTCAAACAAGTTCGCAAGAGAAACCTATCAACTTGAAGAACTATTGAGGTAGATTCTATACAGTTTTTGATGTATAGGCTCGTATAGTCATTCTTATAATGAATTGTTAATCACAAATTAGTAGCGTAAATACATATGCTTGTCAAGTAAAAAAAAAGTAAAGTCAAATACAACGGAATAAAACAACAAAACCTGTTCTAATACTGTTGTTTTCAAGCCCTTCGATTAAAATCAGATATAAAAAGTACTAGAATGCAAATCTTTAATTTAGCGGACTGTAGTGATGAGCATAGAGAGATGAAAACCAAGACCAAGACAATCTTGGTTAAGGTCCGGCCTTGCTTGGTCTTGCTCTTTTTCAAATACTTGTATTAGTCTTGGTCTTGCGTATTCAGTCTTGGTCTTGGTCTTGTTCATTCAGTCTGTTACTTACCACTTACTTCGTTTTAAAAAATTTCAAGGCTTTTATAGGTATAAATTATAAATGATTCATAATTAATATATGTTGTATAATTAATTTAACTTTATTTTACAATAATCTTAATTTTTTTATCATATTGGTTTTCATTATCATATATTATTATAATAGAATATGATATAATATTATTTATTTATTTATTTTTTATTATTTTTATATTTGTTGTGTAATTAGTGTGGAAAAATGGAAATATTAAACACACAAAATGTTTCGTTCTGATAAAAAAATATATTGAAGTTATGACAAATATTTTCATATATCCTGTTTACAACTGAAGTTATAATTTATAGTTTTATTTTGCACTTTAGTCTTGGTCTTGCATTTTCGGTTTTGGTCTTGGTCTTGCTAGTGTATCTATGATATTGATATTGCAAAATCGCAAGACAAAGACCAAGACCAATTTTGCTCATCACTAGCGAACAGGTGTTTTGAAATCAATTTAAATTTTATGCTAAAACAAATAAGTATGTCTAATTTGCGGTAACATAAATATAATTTCAATTATTAAAAAATATATTAATCCAGCTTGCCAGGCAGACGTCGTTCTGCCCTTTTCGACGACCCTTTGTCATGTCCTATTAAAAATTGTTAAATTAGAAAAAAAATTGTTGGTCACTTATGGGCAAAAAAACTATCCTATCTGTCAAATTGGACCAAACTGCACACAGTGTGCAAATTTAATTAAAATCAACCGATTTTAAGTAGTTTAGAAGTCCATCGTGGACAAACATACACAAAATAAATACACTATATAAATTTTTGGTGAAAATACGGACATAATTTATAAAGCCAAATGTTCAGCCTTCTTCAGCTTCGTAAGCAGAAGTTTCTAGATATGAAAATTTTTACTTTAAATTTACCCTCATCAAGTTCTAATTGAAGATGGCGTCCTCTAGGTTGATTTCAACCATGTGTAATGTAATGAATATAAATCGTGAAAAAGAATGAATGTTCCACTATCCCAAGACATCTAGCCCGGAAATAAGCTAATCTTAATATATATAAATTACGTGTCACGTTGAATACGATCCGCGATGGACTCCTAAACTGCTTAACCGATTTTAATCAAATTTGCACAACGTGTGCAGTTTGGTCCAACTTGAGAGATAGGTTAGTTTTTTTCCCCCAATTTTTTTTGCGAATTTAAGAATTTTTAATAGGACATGACAAATTGTCGTCGAAAAGGACAGAACAACGTCTGCCCGGCAAGCTAGTAGTATATAATTTATATAATTTTGTAAGTGCGAAAACATTAAAGAAATTAAAATGCATTTTGTTTTGTTTCAGCCAATCAACAATGGATTTGGAGTTCCGCAATCTCACATACTCTGTATATAGCCGCATTACAAAAGGTAGGAATAATTTCCCACAGAAAGTACATAATATCACCTTTTTCTTTCCTACTGTAGTACTGTTATTGTCACACTTGGCTGGCAGATAGGCGACAGCGCTTTCAGTCGCTGCTTCTATGTTTCGTGAAGTGATTAACACAACCGAAGAACCGTTATCTCTGTGCCTCAGTAACGTCAACAGGTGGACTGTACGCTCGTTTGTCACCCTTATTCTATAAAAAAGAAGAATATCCAAAATAATCACGACCAATAAGGGTCGTCATTTACCAATACCTATTTATGACGCATATTAACCGACTGATAGTTTCATATTCATACTAATTTATATGAGTGCTTAACTTCTAAGTAATTAGACTATAACGACTTCTATCGGTCACTACGAGGAGCTATTGTCGTAATGTAGGGGTCAATGTAATAAACACGGACTCACTAAGAGCTTCATCTGTCTGATACGGTGCAAGTTCTAAAAAAGCTATATTTGAATGTTTTACATTCTAATAAAGCTTTTGTCGGAATAGTTTACATTAATTTTTAATAATAATACAGGTAAAAAACGTGTACAGTCCACCACCTTCGATTAAAAATCAAAATTCAGACGCTTTGTCGACCCTGAAAATTAAGACAATCTATGGACTATATGTGGAGGTTATAAGTATGGAATTCATAATATATTCATTTTACCGCTATTTTACGCTTATATTCTGTGTGAACCATGTTCCTTCACCGGTAGCGATGCATTAGTACTGCCACGTACATGATCCAAGTGTTTCAGTTATTTTGTGTATTTAACGGTATAACTTTTACAATAATAAATACCTAACGGTATACCGAATTTAATATAACTTTTTTTATACAATAAGGGTGACAAACACTAAAAAGGGTCTCGGATTCTCTACACTTACTTAACGAAACACAGCAGCTGCTTTTTTATGCTGAAGGTATTCTGTGAAAGCGTGGTCCTAGGTACTCCGATTGAATCGACCCATTCGTGCGACAACCATAACATACACATAGCTGCAGCGTGGCTCTAAATTGCAATGAAAAAATTATGCAATTTATCTATAAAAAAAATAATGATGAGATACTATTACATATATACTATTATTATATTAGATAATAATTTCCATCGTAAAAAGAGCTAAACTGTTATCTTAACAATATAATATAACATAAAAAATGGATCGATTATAGAAACCAACTACTCGATGTTTTCTTGTTGATAACGAAATAATATTAAACAACTATTTGTAAATTGAAATTTGAATCCCACATAGTCCGATCTAAACCTATAAGAAACCTTAGAAAGCCTTTTATAAGTTGCAAAAGCTGGTCTAGAGTTTCCGTTAAACTTTCCGTTAAAACCTGTTCCTGCGTGTTAGACTGCTTTCAGTGTAATACTTGAAGTCATGGTCTTGAACATAATCTATATAACTGTTTATAGAGGTAGCTACTCTTTTTATTCAACAGCTGTATTCGAATTCTATGTTCATACGTTCATACCCGCTCGGTGTGAATTTATGAATATACTGGCCGCGAATTCGAATATTACGTTTAAACGTTTATACCGAGCTGGTATGAACATATTATATCACTTAATATGTCAAATATAAAAACCCAAACCGACAAAAGGAGGGCGTCAGTGGAGCGGGACTTCAGATACGGCGCAGACACTCTGCCAGCCAGGCGTAGCGATATTGACAAATCCTTCCTACAATGAGTTTACACGTACACGTGTCCAATGTTGAAGTGTTTGCGGAATGTATATACGTATGAATATACCTTCTATATTCAACCAACCAAAATAAATTAACACAATGTAATGCACTTGCACGATGTATCATGTATTTATAGCATAATGTATTGTTTCAATTATTCTTAGAAATCACATCTATCACAACCTATGATAGATTTATTGATATGAGTATTAGAAATAAACAACATTGTGTTGGCCAATAAATTTCACCACGATGCAGTTAATTTTGATGGCATTTGAAAATGAGATTGAGTAGTCTGTTTTTTTTAATGAATGCCATACTTATAAACAAAGTTCAAAATTAGTAAACTAACCGTTGGTTTGATAATTTGACTATGTGTAGCAGTGAACTTTAGGTTGTGGTTGTAATAGTGAAAATTAATAAGATTTTCGTGGAGTTTATTATTTAGCTTTGATATTATCGGAGTTTTTTTTTTTTGCGCCCGAAGCAAATATGGGCAACCCTCCGGAAAGCGGGGGAGTGCACCCGGCCGGCTGCGTGGTTATGTGGTGACTTTTACCTACTAAACCCAACCTTTTAGGAATTGGCTTAACGATCTAACTAGAGATCTCTAAGCCGTATAGGAACGCGACCCTCCTTGGCAGAAAGGAGGGCGCAATTATCGGAGTTATAAATATATATGTATATATACTAATAAGTAGTATGTAGAAATACTTTTTCACTATATAGTGGATTAGTAGAATCTACCTAGGGTCCCTGTCCCAGGGCACCAACAAATATCATAGATTTCTGTTGTCGGTTCTAAGCTTTAACTTTTATTAGGTGGAAGGACTTCTTTCCAGCCTTGTTTTACGTGGGGAAATGCATACGCATACCCGTCCCACGGCGGTAAGGGCGGGTTATGTCGGACTTGAGCCGGCTTAATTCGTATGGTGTTCCACCTTCGTCGCATATTGGCAGGGTCACGAGAACGCTTTGCACACATCCGCGGGCCCACTAGCGTCAACAGCCCTATGGCAGTCTTTCCACGGGGGAAGACTTCTACTCCCCATTTTTTTTCTCAGGTAAGGCACACCAGGAACACAAGGCGTGCCTTCCTCCACCGTCTCCAACTCCAACTTCTTTCCAGTCTGGGAGTTCGTCTGGATAAGTACCACACTCCACCCATTCTTGCCTGCAAATAGTAGTCTCTGAACTACTGTTTCGGTTTGAAGGGTATAATTACAGGATTTGATGCATTCCATTTGAGTCCGAAGAGGTGATAACGAGGCAATTCTTTAGTTCATGTAGAACCCTTGGACTGTGGATCCTCACCATCAGTTAGATTATTAGTTCGTTTGTAACTTCAGTATAAAAATCCAAGGTTATGTTTTGGTTCCAATTAAAAAGTTGTAGTAGCCACTAATCTTCGTACGCGAAACTTGATGGATTGTGACACTTTTTGCCTCAAAAATATAGATTTCTTAACTAGTTAACTACATTATCACATATTAGCAATATTTATATGTAACGTACGAAACACGTCAACGATTTTGCAAATGACCACTAAATTTAAATTCAATGTTACAAAACAAGGTCACTAGTAAAGTGTGGCACAAACAACTTAGTTTTCTAATTAATTTGTATTTTTTATTATTAATTGGAATTAATCAAAAAATGTATTCCTGAGAATGCATTATATTCTAGACGGTAAGGTTTCTTTTCCGCGTAGATATCAATACAGGTTTCATCCTCTTTAATATTTCTGCCTGCAACAGTTTAGTCACTTTTACACTTTAGTTTGAAGAACAAAAGAGCCAGTGCTGTAACAGGCTGGGAGGCATTCCACCACAGTTTAGTAAGTGTAGTTACAGTGCTTCCTTGTTTAGTTGCGTGTATTCATAAGCTCTACAATATTAGATGGTTAACTTATTTGTCACTCAAAATTTAATAATGTTTTCTTTTTGTTATACAAAAAGAAAACATTATTAAATTCCGGTTTTCGTCATTCTTAATTACTATGACTGAATTTATTAAGAGCTTTGGAACTGCGTCAAAACGAATGCATTATAAATATATACTATGCACATTCATACATAGCATTCGTTCATTTCCTCACTTTGTTTTGTTGCTATTTATATAAAATCTTGGCAAGGAGAAACTGTGAAAGGAGGACAGTATGCGAGACATTGACTTGATTGATTGCATATCCGTACTGAGTTACAGTGTTTTTAATCAGATTGTGATCGTCACCAATCGTGCGTTAGAGGCCAATAATAATTTCATTTCATTCATTCGTTACAGTTTATAAAAAGTTCACTACTGGACATAGACCTCCATAGATTGCGCAGTTTTTTGTTAATTTGTGTTGTTATCAGAAAAATGCTGCTGCCCATTTCCTAATTAATTACCATCTGTTGCCTCTTACGAGCTTACCACAACAACGGAATTATATGCGTTAGTGAATTCTCTTACGTCGCCACTAAACGGGGAAGGAAATATTAGGTTTTTACCTACGAAATTGCCGTGTTTTATGAAATAAGTTAATGTAATTATTTTTCATCTCATCGTCTCGTATTCATGCAATCTATGCATCTTTGAAAACGCAGTGGCAGTTTATTGATAATCATCTTGAAGAAATTTATTGATGCCTCTTTTTTTACATGGGTCGGCTCGACACAGATTACTAGCGTAAAACAGCAGCTTAACTCTGCTGTGTTTCGTATGGTAAGTGTAGAGAACTGGATACCCTTTTTACTGGAAAAGAGGCATTCCATGTTAGTCCTCACAGGTCACAACGCATCTGCATTTTCATTCGTGATCGAGGATTGATGTAGACGTCTATGGGCCACAGCAACCACTTACCATCAGGTGGACTGTGTGCTCGTTTGTCACCCTTATCGTATAAAAAAAATCTGCTGGACGGGAGGCAACATAACATATTCTTCAAAGTCATTTTGTACAGCTGCGCGGATATTGAACTTTTTCCCTACAAAATAAGTTATCCCAAATCTGGAAAAAGTAGAAGCCCGTAGACAAAAGAGCTGGTGAGTACGACGGATGGCGAAGAACTGTTGTGGAGTATGAGGTTGCGCGTTATTGTGCAGGAGCAATGGAGACGAGAGTATGATCAAAGCTGGCTGGAAACGTGCAAGCTTCTCCATTAAGGCACGTCTCAACGCGTACTTCGCGTTGGCGTTCATTGAGTTCGTGGGGCATCCAATTTTCAAGCTTTTTCCCTTTTCAATTTGACGCAAATAGACCAATATTGCTTTGATGCTAACGTAGAATGCTACTGCTAATTCA